CCTATTGTTTCAATATACTCTTGTTGGTAACTCGAACATTCGTCCTAGTAGACGTAAATAGTAAACTAAACGCGAGTAACAAAACACCCAGTGAACTATAGCGACAGCCCCAAAACTTCAATAAGCTTCCCAGTGAGAGAAATTTAGATACTCTTGAAATCTTTTAGAATGATAACACCCATGTAGGACCCTAAAATGTTAATACTCATGTTGGACCCTAAATATGTTAACACCCATGTAGGACCCTAAAATGTTAATACTCATGTAGGACCCTAAATATGTTAACACCCATGTAGGACCCTAAAATTATAACACCCAAGTAGGACCATAAAATATATAACACCCATGTAGTACCCTAAATATGTTAACACCCATGTAGAACCCTAAAATGATAACACCCATGTAGGACCCTAAATATGTTAACACCCAAGTAGGACCATAAAATGATAACACCCATGTAGGACCCTAAATATGTTAAAGATTTGTTTTCTTTCTCACCAGAGGTAAAGTTAAAAATATAATTTGTGACGTAGAGGCCTAATGCTTTCTTTGATTGGCTGTACCCTTAATCTAAATTACTATATGGTGAAGTAAATCGGACTCAAAACACCATAATTGTTGAGGTAACAATTTACAAGAGGGTAAATGCGTTTGTTATTGTTGTTTTGCAGAGAAACAAAAGCACTTTCAGATCAAACTACGATTACCAATCACCATTCAGATCAAACTACGATTACCAATCACCATTCAGATCAAACTACGATTACCAATCACCATTCAGATCAAATTACGATTACCAATCACCATTCAGATCAAACTACGATTACCAATCACCATTCAGATCAAACTACGATTACCAATCACCATTCAGATCAAATTACGATTACCAATCGCCATTCAGATCAAACTACGATTACCAATCACCATTCAGATCAAACTACGATTACCAATCACCTTTTAAGAGAGAAAATAGAATACTCACATCTGGTCACGTGGCTGTGAGTGTAACATCACACATTTAATGTCACTGTTTAAAACGCCAAAAGTCAGGGAAGCAGGAAAACTAATAATCGTATCATAGTGACAAAAATCTCTCTATTCAATCACTCCCAACCCACTTGACGAGTTCTAGTATTGAACGAAAAATCACTTTGGATGCGTCAGCTATTTCAACACACTTCTAGTGAAAGTTTAGGATGGGTAAATTGAAAGGATTGTGGGAAAAACATATGCATTACAGTGTATTTTTATTACTATTGTTAAGCCTGTTGCTAAACTTTTTTGTATTTGTTTGTTTGTAAGGAATAGCATGCCAAGTAAAAGTTTTCTATGTCAGTGTATTTTTATTACTATTGTTAAGCCTGTTGCTAAACTTTTTTGTATTTGTTTGTTTGTAAGGAATAACATGCCAAGTAAAAGTTTTCTATGTTTATCGTTTATTTTCCTAAGACTTACGCCTCCGTTAGTCCTCACACTTTGCATATTATTCATTCTTCCTCTTTTGGGGTCGGGACCAGTCTGGTCAGAGGTGCTGATGCCTTACGTTGAAGGATGCTATTCCACCTGGTGGCGAAATCTTTTGTATATCAACACATTATACAAGCCAGTCCAGGTAAGCTATTTACAAAACTGTTACTTTCATTTCCGTTTATGTTAAGTGTAAAACGAAAGCTACTTTCTTAGTGCGATCGCCATTTGTCGTGAAATTATATACGGACAGTGAGGGAATATTCTCGTTTAACTCCTTTAAAATTCTAATTTTATATTATTTAGTTAAGTTGACCAAAAAAAAAAAAGGGGGAGATAAGATATTCAAAATTTCTATCATGCATGAGCGTAGCTACAAAATTATTGTTAAGGGGAGGGGGGCTAAGTTCTAAAAATTTTAGATTATGCGTATTTTAGATAACTATAAACGCGAATAATTCCCAATTCTTAGAAATTACATGTAAGGGTAATAACTGAAGTCAAAATTTGTAATAGGTATGAATTTTTATTTTAAAACTCCATTCAAAAAGCAAGGAGTACAAGCCCCCAGTCCTATATCAAGCCACGCCCATGACATAAACAATTTGAGATCACTTTCTCCTAATAAGCCTGAAGGCTTATAATGCTAAAAACATGTAATGAGCACAGCACACATACCCAATTGTGTAGCTTTGAACTTAACAGCAACAAAACAACTTTCTCCTAAGCCTACTGAAGTGAACGAGTAAGAACTTATAAAAAGACTATTTTAAAGTCATGGCCCTAAGCCTACTGAAGTGATTAAACAAGTAAGAACTTATAAAAAGACTATTTTAAAGTAACGGCCCTAAGACTATTTTAAAGTCACGGCACTAAGCCTACTGAAGTGATTAAACAAGTAAGAACTTATAAAAAGACTATTTTAAAGTAACGGCCCTAAGCCTACTGAAGTGATTAAACAAGTAAGAACTTATAAAAAGACTATTTTAAAGTAACGGCCCTAAGACTATTTTAAAGTCACGGCACTAAGCCTACTGAAGTGATTAAACAAGTAAGAACTTATTCAACGCCCCCATTCTTCTATATCTATTACTTGACGTCCATCTTTGTAAAGGACACTAAACCTAAAAAAAAACACAGTTAAAACATATCTAATTAAGCCTCAAATAAACAAAACCTTTCCCAGCCTTCTGGTCGTGGCTTTAAAGTGCAACCTATTCAGAGCCCTAAAATCTCGATATCCAGACGTCACTTGTCAAAAAACAACAACAACATTAATGATTTCGAACATAAATGTTTGTACCCAGTCCAAGCGACTTAACATAGTTGGCTTTTATAATTTAAAAATGGTCAAACATATGTACTGGAAACAGAATAATTTTAAAGGACTTTAAAATCTTTGAATGTCGGTATGGAGAAAATTTGGTTTTGGCCACACTTCTTCCGCATAGTACAGCAAATATCTTGTGATGAAAAAATAGACTATTATTATTGTGGTCGGTCATAAATGCTTGTAAAACTTACTCCTTATAATTGGAGATTAATTAGGCCTAACTTTGAATTTCTGTTTGGAATTTCATATTTAAAAAGCTAAAATTTTAATTGTAAACTTTTTGCAGTAAGTGTACCATGATAAGAAGCTTAGAGGTTGCATCGGCTTAATTGTAAAATTAAATGCACAAATCCTAACTCGTGAAAGTTTCAGTAGTACGACAAACTACTTGGAAATGTATAAATTAAACTATTTTTCATCGAAATGTGAATTTTATATTACTCATTTTAATGTCTGCTTGTTTTCTTTAGGTTTCAAATAAGAAACTTTCTTATTCCAATCAGTTCTTATGTATCTAAATATTTACGTCCCTCGGAGGGGTAGCGGTAAATTTATGGAGTTAGAACGCTAAAATCCAGGGTTCGATTCCTCGTGGTAGATACAGTAGATAACCCAATGTGGTTTTACTGTAAAAAAAAGCAAGTAAACAATATAAATATTTATAAAGCGGAGTTGTCCGTCTGTCTGTTTATCTTGTGTCTTGACGTCAATAGTTCAGGTGAGAACTGTTTGGAAGAGGAATTCAGATGGATCCCCTCGAATAGATCAAATTTAAATGGATAAGTCAAAGGGGAGCGAACGCTTCGAGCCTGGAAGCCATTTCGGTTTTTGCTTCTTGCACTGGTTCCTTTACTTATTGCGCGCACCAAGTAAACTTGCTCAGCGAATAACGCACATGCACGCTATCCCGCCATCCCCGTAATGGCAACAAAATTAAGTTTTCGACCTTTCAGTTTGTTTAGGTTTTGTCCTGTCAGTCTGTAAAGATGCTTAAAGTAAATTGGTAAAATGATTGCCTTCTTTTTCTCTAGTGCTTAGGTCAGACTTGGTATATCTCGTGCGATTTCATCTACCACGTTCTTTCTTTAACCATCTTCCTCCCTATGTTAAGGTAAGTAAAATTATTTTTATGCTAGCGTTGGACAGTTACATTTAAGATAATACATAAATTTCACGTGTAAACTTATTACGAGATCAATAAAAGTTTTAGCTTTAAACTGAAGTTCGCCAAACCTATTAAATGTTTAAAAAAATCAATGTAGAAAACATAGACCACACTGGTTGTAGTGCTTGTCTAAACACATTCAGAGTTCGACTAGATGAGGGGTCTTCAAACGTTTTTGGACAAGGGCCGTGAGGTAGACATTTTTATGCTTCGCGGGCCGAAAGGGTCGTGGTAAAATTAAGTAGGGATGCATACATGATCAGACTGGCTTTTGCTCAATTACGTTTCATTTTTTGTTTTTATAATATTAAAAAATTATATTATTACCTTAATAAACTGTTGGTGGGCCAGATGCGGCCCGCGGGCCGTAGTCTGGAGACCCCTAGACTAGATGCTAGTGACTTTTTGAATTTTTTTATAAGTATTATCACATATGTCACCACACAGCTCCCTCTTCCTTCTTCTTCTTCTTACTTTAACTGTTCCATGAGTTGAAGAAGAGAGTCATACGTGATAAGTACTTATAGAGGATTTGTATAACTTCTAGTTTAACAGATATGGAAGCTCCTGAAAGAGATTTCTAAATTGGTTGACTATTATTTGTATATTTTACCTTAATTATACAATTTCACCAATAATTTTCTAACCATTGTGATGTCTACTTTATTGTAATTCCATCAAGATTACTCTGAAAAGCTTGGACTTTCTCTCGCTTAGCTTTCAATCAGTATAAATATTATGTTTGAATTATCTTGTTTATACTTCTAGAGTACTTGAGTATTTATTTACTCCATGTATTTTTCATACTTTGCTAGGAACCCGAAGGCAGGCATAATTATAATTTTGTTCTTCTTGTTGACGTCAGTTGCGGGTACAACTGTGCTGACGTGGTATTTTGAACTCCCCCCCACACATTTTGCTGCTATGTTAGACAAAAGGTATGTTGTATTTGTGTCTTTTCTTCATGAAATTCTTTTTGAAATTTGTTCAAACAGTTAATTTTATTTTCAGTGTTGTTGTTTGTTTGTTGTTAAGCACAAACTACACAATGGCCTATCTGTGCTGTGCACACCACGGGTATCGAAACTCGATTTTTAGGGTTATAAGGCGCCAGACTTACCGCTGAGCCACTGATAAGCTATTTTCAGTTTCGCCCGTTGCTAAGAATTGTAAATATTCATCTTACTATTCAAGAATTAATCAATTTAGTATTCTAGAGCGCAAATAAACATTCGAAATGGAAGCACGTGATCTTGGTGTTCAAGCACAGTTTAAGCTGAGGAAACCTAACTGCCAACAGTTTGGACTGTGATCAAGTTAGAAAATAACGTTTAAAAAAGTACAAAATGTGTTACCCTAAACTTATCTCTTCCCACTAACCAATTATCGCTTGTTCTACTGTATGTATAGTTTATCAATACCCCCCCCCCCTTTAGTGGCACAGTGGTATGTCTACGGACTTATACTGCTAGAAACCGGGTTTCAATATTCCTGGTGGGCAGGGCGCAAATAGCCCTTTGTGTAACTTTGTACTAAATAAAAAACAACAAAAAGTTTATCAATAAGCTGCATTACTGTAGGTTTTGTCAAAACAATTTAGATATTAAACTTAATTTGTTTTGAAATCGCCCTCTATACAAGAATGTAAGAAAATTTTTAAATAAAGGGTGGTTAAGAGTTTCTAAAACAAGTATCATCAAACAAGATAGTTCTCTTAATCTTATTGAAACTTGTCACAATAACCTATTACAAATATTCACACATCTTAATTCAAAACTTAGTTGGTAGTCTAAAATTAAAGACTTTCTCACTAGGTTAATAGTTTCTACTAGGTAAAAAATTCTTGCTATTACAGTTGATATTGGAAACCTCGTTAGGCTTAGGTTAACATTGCAATTTTTGGTGTGTGTGTGTTTTTAGGGAAGTTTTGAGGATGTCCCAGAAACGTTATCCAAATCCCATAAACCACTTAGGCTGTTACTGTGTTGGATTATTAGCCGGATATGCGCTCGCCAGGAAGAAGCTTACCAACGTGTCTAAGGTGACGTCACAATTTATTATGTACTTCAGTATATTGCACATATTACTTGTAAACATATATATATAACCCAAGTTCAGATATAAATACCTGGTAGCTTTCTTCTTCTATAAATCTATACTGGCCGTATTCTTAGTTAAATACGGGTCTTTTGTTTTGATAAAATTGCAAATTAATTATTATTATTTCTCAAATTAGATTTAGTGGAAGAACTGGTCAACAGATGGAGTTTACAGTTCATCAAAAAATATATTATTTTAAATTATTTAAACTTGGGTCTCGTAATAAAAAATCAAATACATTCATTCTTTTTATCGAATTAATGCATCGAACTATTAATTAAAGGATTAAGATAAATACTTTTTTATCTTTATTTATTATCAGCAATAGTTTTATTTATTTTTTTCTTTATCGTTACAGATAATTCTATCATTAGGCTGGATTGCTTCAATCTTTTCCTTTATGTCTGTGATCTATGGTATGTACGACTGGAACAGGGGTGTAGAGGGCAGCACTGCAGTGGCACTGATGTATGCAGGATTACATCGTCCTGTCTGGTCTGCCGGTGTAGCATGGCTTATTTTGATGTGTGTCACTGGTCGCGGAAGTAAGTAATACTATTATATGTAGGTATATATATATATACTGTTAAAATGCGAGTAAAAACAAAGTTCCTCTTGAAGTTCTAAAAAAACGAAGCATTTGGCACTCTTTTTTTTTCTGGAACTAGTGGGCGCTTTGTTGAGTTAAATGTTTTGTTTTATTAATTCACTAAACGGAAGGAAATGACTATAAAACGAAAGTTATATTTGATGAAACTTAGTTGAATGGACGACAACTGCCTGTTGTAGAAACACAAGTGTAGAGGTTTGTTTGTTTGTTTGTTTTTTTAATTTCGCGCAAAGCTACACGAGGGCTACCTGCGCTAGCCGTCCCAAATTTAGCAGTGTAAGACTAGAGGGAAGGCGGCTAGTCATCACCACCCACCGCCAACTCTTGGGCTACTCTTTTACCAACGAATAGTGGGATTGACCGTCACATTATAACGCCCCCACGGCTGAAAGGGCGAGCATGTTTGGTGGGACGGAGATTCGAACCCGCGACCCTCAGATTGCGAGTCGAGTGCCCTAACCACCTGGCCATGCCGGGCCAAGTGTAGAGGACGACGTTTCGAAAGTCTTCGGTTATATTTATTCAACATGGAAACTAAAATTATCATAAAATTCACAAATAATAATAATAATATAATAAAACTTGTGGATGAACCCTTTAACAATTTCTGGAGCTCGAGACAAGCACGAGATATCATCGTATATTGTTTGTTTGTAATTAAGCACAAAGCTACAAAATGGGCTATCTGTGCTCTTCCCACCACGGGTATCGAAACTCGGATTCTGGCGTTGTAAGTCCGCAGACATGCCGCTGTGCCACTGGGGGGCATCATCGTATATATTACTCATATCAGTTTAATTCTCGAACACAAGAGTTTTGTAGACTGTAGATTTTAACGTACGATATAATAATTAGCCGTGGGCGCTACTTGGTGGGGCATCGATAAACTACGTTTAAATACATCAGTGGCGTAGGACCCCCACTTTTTAATGTGTCCAAATACATCAACATTATGTAAATTACTCTCAGAAAAAGCAGGAGAACCCTAAATCGAACCCTGGACCCCGGCCATAATGGATGCACCTGTGGCGCATATTCTCTCGCTTTTCTTGGAGAAATAAACCTTGCCCCCCCCTCTCCACTTTTAATTTGCCTCCTACTAGGGGTGCGTATCTCACTTTAGTAGTCGATACGATACTTATCTAAATATTGATGCCGTGATACGATAGGTATCTAGATACAAACGTTTTACCAACGGTTTGTTACAAAGTTTGACAGTCTTGTCTGTAATTTATTATCTATATTACTAAACATTGTCTTAAGTACTTCACACTTTGCAATTTGTTTGTTCGTTTGAAGGTAAGCACAAAGCTGCACAATGGGCTATCTGTGCTCTGCCCACCACGGGTATCGAAACACGGGTTCTAGCGTTGTAAGTCTGCAGACATACGGCTGTGCCACTGGAGGGGGGACAAATTCTCAGGTTTGATCAACAGGCAGCTGGCAAGAGAAGTAAAATAAAAACACGTTAATATCTGTCTACCTGTTTTGTTATTGTTAATTTGTTACGTTACTGTACATGTAATGTTTTTGATAAAAGAAA